CTGGTCCCGCCTATCTTATCCGCTGGTCCCGCCTATCATATCCGCTCATCCTGCCTATCGTATCTGCTCGTCCCGCCTATCATATCCGCTGGTCCCGCCTATCGTATCCACTCGTCCTGCCTATCATATCCGCTGGTCCCGCCTATCATATCCGCTGGTCCCGCCTATCATATCCGCTCATCCCGCCTATCATATCCGCTCGTCCCGCCTATCGTATCCGCTGGTCCCGCCTATCGTATCCGCTCGTCCCGCCTTCCTATCCGCTCGTCCCGCCTATCGTATCTGCTGGTCCCGCCTATCATATCCTCTGGTCCCGCCTATCATATCCACTCATCCCGCCTATCATATCCACTCCTCCTGCCTATCATATCGGCTCGTCCCCCCTATCGTATCCGCTTGTCCCGCCTATCATATCCGCTGGTCCCGCCTATCGTATCCACTGGTCCCGCCTATCGTATCCGCTGGTCCCGCCTATCATATCCGCTCATCCCGCCTATCGTATCCGCTCGTCCCGCCTATCGTATCTGCTCATCCCTTCTCCACTGACCTCGACCCAAGGCTGAATGAGACTTGTTATTCATCACCGTCTCTCACTATCCTGAACGATGTTCACTAGATACACTCAGATTTGTCAACATTTCCCTTGAACTATAACTCCTAGAAGTGGGTACAATAGACCGAATACTATGTGCCGGGTGATGGGTAAAGTGGAACCACAGCGGGCTCTGGCGTGAGTGGTCTTATTAATAAGACTTGAGATTGCTCAGGTTTTTAGCTTTGGAAGTCAACTGCAGTTCTGGCCTCAGGTTTTCCAGCTGGTGCACTCCCTGTTGCCAGAAAGCTCGCTTTATTCCTCAAATGGCTCTTCTAAGGTTAGTGCACTGGTGTTTTGAGTAGTGTGTCTAAAGGTGCTTTTGTTACAATACTAAAGATAAATAAGTTAATTATATTGGGCAATATGTATTTGTGTCATGAAAATAGATTGTGCTTGATTCAATTCTATATATCGGAAATAAAAAGGTTTTGTTTTTTTTTGTCTTTTTGAGACAGGGTCTTGCTATGCAGTTCAGGCTGGCCTTGAGCTCACTTTGTAGCCCAGGCTGGTCTCAAACTAGCAATGATCCTCCTGCCTCAGCCTCCTGAGTGCTGGGGTTACAGGCACGCACCACCACGCCTGGCTCAAAAATAAAAAGTTATGTACGAAAGGTCTGCCAGATAAGGGAAAGGAAGCTCAGCTGCATGCTCCAGCTGCTATGTAGGGGGGTTCCCTAAAAGTAAGAATTTGGGATTTTCTCAAATAGAATCATTCTTTTCTCAAGTCAGTTTCTGTTTGGACGTGACAGGGTGTCAAGGTCACCAATCCTACATTCAGTAATGTCCTTCTTTGTGCCCTCTTTATTTCTTTCCTTTTAAAATGAGACATAATATTTGTACATCTTTATGGGGTACGTTACGGTGATTCAATACATGCATAAAATGTGTAATAATCAAATCAGGGTAATAGCCTTTCCATCTCTTCCACCACTGATCATTTTTATGGTGGGAATTTTGTAATGTTTTCTAGTCATCTTGAAATACATCCTAGATTGTTGATTTTCTTGTTTCAAACCTTCAGTGGCATGGAATATTATATGGAAATATAAGAAAAGTATCATCTGGGTATCCACTTACGTAAAGTCTTCTCTATACATTACACTTCAATACAAATTTCATTGTAACAGTCACTTCAATAGTTTCTTACTGTCCTGGATATACAATTCGTATTCTTTGTATGGGCTGGCAGGGTTCTGAGTGACAGGCTTTGTGGGGTGCTTGGCCATCACAGTCTATCCTTACCATCAGTCCAGCCCCTGATCTCTGGAAGTGCTTTGATTTTGTTTAGTGCAGGGTGACTGGTTTTGATCGTCTGAGAAACCTATAGCGCTCTCTTTTAGGAAAATCTCTCTTAACATATACAAAACACATTAAGGGAAACAAACTATATTGATGTTTTTTTTTGGTACCGGGAATCGAACTCAGGACCATGCGCTTGCCAGGCAGGCCCTTGTGCTGCTGAGCTATATCCCTGGTCCACAAACTATATGGAAGTGTACTTATCAAAAGCACTTACAGAATAGTAATACAAGTATCTCTTTATTAATGCATTAGATACCAAGGCTACAAATTTAAAATGTAGGTGTTAAAGCTTAAATTTTAAAAATATCTGCCACGGGGCTGGGGATTTAGCTCAGCGGCACAGCGCCTGCCTGGCAAGCATGATGTCGTGAGTTCGATTTGCAATACCGGAAAAAAACCAAAAAAAAATCTGCCAGTTTGTTTCGCATGCATCAGCATACAAACTATAGAATGGTTTTTGACTCACCTCCATCCATGTATTGATTGGAAAACAGGGGAAGATAGGAAACGCAGGAAAGCGATACAGTCATAACTGTGTTATGATGTGAAAAATATCCACGAATTTTATTGGTGCTAAAATCACATGCACCATTATTATGGCTGTGGTTTTGGTCCACCTTCATAATTGAAAGAAATAAGGTTTAAATTAGAGACGGTTGAAACATAAAGATGTCTCACTATTGGAGTAACCTCCCCATATACTGACCTAGATATTCACGGCCCCGTGTTCAGGATCTGCCTGTCCCAGGGTCATGTGGTTGGGCCCAAGGGTGAAGGGCTGTGGAGGACGCTTACACCAATTCCCATTCTTTTCTTTTCTTTCTTTTTTTTTTTTTTATTATTTTAAAGAGTAAAAGAAGGATAACATAATAATAGGGGGGGCTTACCAAATTGCAGACAAAGTGGTAGGAGATTATCCATGGTTATTGTTTTACATATTGTTATCTACAAGATAGTTTCTCAGGAAAACAGACAAATAATATTGAGTTACAGACAAGAGGTACGAGATTATCAATAGTTGTTGTACTATACTTAGGTATCTTCAAAGTGGCTTCTAAAGAATATAAATAGAACTATGCATGAGTGACCTATTGAATAATCATTCAATAATTCTCAATAGTTGTTGTAGGAAACACATAATAATAAACATGGATCCATTTATGAAATAGGATAGGAACAATACAAACATTACAGAGTTATGGATAGATTTCTAGGAAAATAACAATGACTGCTGTAATGCATGGTGGTATCTTCAAAGTGGTTTCTCAGGAAGACAGGATTCCCATTCTTTTCGCCAGTGGTAGGAGGCAAGAATCTACATCCCGTGGGATGGTGCGTAGCTGACCTATTCACCCCTGGTGCCAGGTGCCTTTGGGCCTCGTGTATGTTTACTGTGTTTAGAATAACAATAGTAATAAAGTCAGTAATATATTTTAATACATTATTTGATTGTGTATAATAAACATGTTAACATGGTTGTTATGCTAGATAATAAACTTCTTCCTGTTTGAGCTCTTTTTAATCGGTCCTTCTATGAATAGCACAAAGCGTCTAAATGTGTACAAGCTGCACTGGGCCCCGCCAGTCTGCAGACCTCACCTTTCCCGGTCTCCTCCTGGCTCACCGGCCTTTTCTTCCAGACCTTGACCGTGCGGCCTAGGGAGGCATCCTCTGCCCTCTGACTGGCACCTCCTTCCTGCCCTCGTGTCAGAGCTGGCATGCCGTTCCCTCAGACAGATGTATCTAAATAAAATCAGACTTAGATTCATTCTCATTGCACTGCCCTCATCCCCCACCACTGCCACTTGGATTTTCTCCTTCCCAGACCTTATCAAAACTTACACATAAAAGTATTTTCTTGGGTTTGTTGAACTTCTCCTTTTCTCATTAAACTGTAGGCTCCACGAGGACGAGCCAGGGGGCCAGCATCAGTGCAGCGTCAGGCAGGGATACTCAGGAAGTATTTGTTAAATACATAAACGCCTTCTTTCAGGTGCTCTTCCATGCTCAGAACAAGGTGGAATATGACTCCCTAAGAGACCATGTTTTAGCACCACTGTGCCTAAGTCATCCTGAAAATCTAGATTACTCTTACTAGTGTTTTGGCCTTTGGGGCAAATAAAAACCCGATTCAGTGATCACAAATAGCACAAATAATTGGAGCAGTAAAGAGCTGAGCCAGTGGGAAAGGGTAGTGTAACTGAGTAGGCGAATAAATAATAATTAACTAGGACAGGCAGACAATTCAGTATCATGTAGGAACCTCACTGATTTTTAGATATGCAGTACATGTATGATTCACTATCATTTGTTAATTCTAGTTTTTCTAGTGTATTCTCATTTTGCCTAACATGTAATCGTCATTGTGATAAATATATTGATTTTTTTGATTCTTATATCTATTTCATTTCTTTTTACATTCTCCAGAACTTCCATAGCAATATTAAACAATGATGACCTTATTAGGCATTTTTGTTTTCTGCTCAGTCTTAATAGAACTCTCTCTATGGGCTGTTGACATTGGCTTTGTGTATTGGTTAACGTTTAATTTAATTTTTTGGTTAAATTTTAATTTTTTTCATGTTTCAATAAAACTTTATTTACAAAACCAGGCCAAAGGCCAGTTTGGCCTAAAAACCATAGTTTTGCTGAACCGTAATTGAAAGTAAGCTTCTTTCTCCTGTCTTTTTTCCTTAAGTTACATTTTTGTTAGTGCATATTTGCAGTACATAATGATTATATTCTTTGTGGGAAATTGGTACATAACATATCTCATTTTCCCCTCCCTTCTACCGCCATTTTCGTAAAATAAACAAACAAACAAACAAACAAAAAACACTTTTTTTGGGCAGCATGAGCTTCATTTACTTGTCTTTTAAGTTCTTGTAAAGTTAATTATCATACATACAGATTAGCAGCCTAACAGGTAAAAAGCATACAAAGCACCTAAGACAATTATACTAAAGCAGGGTACACTTTTAGATACATTATCCACCAGTACTACACTTTCTTTATCCATTCTTCTCTTGGTGGAGATATAGGCCCCTTCTAAGATTTAGCTATTACGAACTGCACTGCTGCAAACATGAGTGTGCATGCATTGCTGTAATATGGTTTTTGGGTTTTTTTTTCCAGTACCAGGAATTGAACTCATGACCTTGCGCTTGCCAGGCAGGCGCTGTGCCGCTGAGCTAAATCCCCAGCCCCTGCATTGCTGTAATATGATGTCTTTAACTCTTTAGGAAGACTCCCAGAAAAGGAACAGCTGGGTCAAATGGAATGTCTATTTTTCTTTTTTTTGTGGAATCTCCATACTGATTTCCATAATGGTTGTACTAGTTTACATTCCCACCAGTAATGTAGGAGGGTTCCTTTTCCCCCACAGCCTCTCTAGCATTTGTTATTATTTGATTTCTTGGTGACAGCCGTTCTTTCTGGAATAAGATGAAATTCAGTAATTTGTACTTTTCCAGTGGCCGATGCTATTGAGACCCTTTTCATGTATGCACTGGCCATGTGCACTTCTTCTGAGGAGTGCCTGTGCATTTCAGTGGCCCATCTCTTATTTGGATCTTTTATTTTGGAAGGAGGTCTGTCTCTGTTACTTCCTCATTACTGAGACACAACACTTGACATCCACAGCTGAAAGCAGGAAAGGTTTATTTTCGCTCACAGTTTGTAGAAGTTTCGGTTCATGGTCAGCTGGCTCCAAGGCAGGGCAGCATCCTAGAGGGCATGGCAGAGGAGGGCTGCTGATGGTATGGCAGACAGGAAGCTGAGGGAGCAAAGGCAGAGGGAGAGAGACAGACCCTTGAGGCCACAGCCTGGTGACCCACTTCTTCCAAGCGGGCTTCACTGCCAACATCACAGATTATGAGTATCATGTGCCTATGATCCAAAAACCTCCCCAAAGCCCCACCTACAAGCACCTGAGGTTTTGGAGGAACATCTAGATATGAACCAAAGGAGGGTCTAACTTTCTGAGTTCTTTATGTATTCTACATATTAGTCCTCTGTCTGAGGAATAGCTGGCAAAACATTTTTTCCCATTCAGTAGGATGTCTCTTCATCTGCTGGTTGTTTGTTTTCTGTGTAGAAGCTTTTTAATTTGATATGATCTTGTTTGTTAATCCCTAATGCTGTTCCTTGCATAACTGGAGTTCTGTTCAGAAAGTCTTCACCTAGGCCTGGGTCTTCAAGGGCTTATCTAATCTTCTAGTAGCTTGAGCATCTTTAACACTTCAACCTTTGATCCATTTAGATTTTAGTTTAGTAGAGAGTGAGAGATGTGCATCTAGATTCCATCTTCTGTGTATGAATAGCTTGTTTTCCCAGCACCATTTGTTAAAGAGGCCTATAAAGCATATGCTTTCTTCCAGCACATGTTTTTGGCTCCTTTGTCAAAGATCAGATGGCTAAATGTGCCTGGGGTTGTTTCTGTATCCTCTATTCTCTTCTATTTTACCTACATATTTGTCGTGGTGCTGGTACCATGCCGTTTTTATGACTATAGCTTTGTAATATAACTCAAAACCTGGGACTGTGATGCCTCCTACTTTGCTCTTATTGCCCAGGATTGCTTTTGCGATTCTGGGTGCCTTTGGTTCTGCATGACTTTAGGATTTTGTTTTTTTCTAGTTTGGTGAGGAATGCTATTGGCTGTGATTGAGATTGAGATTGTGTTAAATCTGTGTATCAGTTTTGAAGTGTGGCCATTTTGACAATATTGGTTCTGCCTATCCAGGAACAGGAGATATTGTTCCATTTTCTGTCCTCTTTGAACTCTTCTTTCAGCATACTCTAATTTCTGTAGTAGAGGTCTTTCACTTCTTTAGGTTAATTCCTAAGTATTAATTTTTCTTGATACTATGGTGAATGGTGTTGTTCTCTTAAATTCTTTCTTGATGAGTTCATTATTGGTGTAGAAGGACACTATTGATATTTTGTGTGTGTTGATTTTTTATCCTGCTATACTAGTGCATTGGACTTTTTTTTTTTTTTTTTTTTTTTTGGTGGTACCGAGGATCAAACTCATGACCTTGTGCTTGCCAGGCAGACACTTATGCCACAGAGCTATATCACCAGCTGTGAATTGGATTATTAATTCTTAGAGTCTTTTCCTGGATTTTTTTTTTTTCTATGTTGAAAAGCATGTCATCTGTAAATAAAGATAATTTGACTTATTCCTTTTCTAAACATATCCCCTTTCTTTCTTTCTCTTTCCTGATTGCTCTGGCTAATGTTTTGAGTACTATATTAAATAAGAGTGGTGATAGTGGACATCCTTGTCTTGTTCCTAATTTTAGAGGAAAAGCTTTTAGCTTTCTCCTATTTAGTGTGATGTTGGCCATTTAGTATGATGTTGGCCTATTTTCTTCAGGTTTTTTTTTTTTTTCATCATGAATGGATGTTGGGTTTTGTCAAACACCTTTTGTGCATCTATTGAGACGATCATGTGATTTTTGTCTTTGCTTCTGTTTATGTGTTGTATTATATTTATCAGTGTGCATATGTTGAACCTTCCTTGCATCCTTGGGATGACACCTACTTTGGTCATAATGTATGATCTATTTGATGATTTATTGCATTCTGTTTGTCAGTATTTGTTTAGGATTTTTGCCTCAATGTTCATTAAGGAGATTGGCCCATAGGTCTCATTATTGGCTAGATCCTTGTTTGGTTATGGAATCATGGTAATGCTAGCTTTGAGAAATGATTACAGGAGAACTCCTTCCCTTTCAATTTCGTTAGAGTTTGAGGAGTATTAGTGTTAAATCTTCTCTGAAGTTCTTGTAGAATTTTGTGGTGAATCCATTGGGTCCTGAGCTTTACACAGTTGGTAGTTTCTTTTTTTATTATTTCAATTTTCTCCCTCTTTCTTTCTTTCTTTCTTTCTTTCTTTCTTTCTTTCTTTCTTTCTTTCTTTCTTTCTTTCTTTCTTCCTCTTTCTTTCTTTCTTTCTTTCTTTCTTTCTTTCTTTCTTTCTTTCTTTCTTTCTTTCTTTCTTTCTTTCTTTCCTTCCTTCTGAGACAGGGTCTCACTGTATAGTTCAGTGTGGCCTGGACTCACTATATAGCCCAGGCTGGCTCAATTTCATTTCTTATTATTGAATTCTTCAGGGTTTTTATATCTTCTTGGTTCAGTTGTGGTAATAGAAAGGTATCTAGGAATCTAAGCATTTCTTCTGAATTAAATTCTCCAATTTGGGGCTGGGGATTTAGCTCAGCGGCAAAAGCGCCTGCCTGGCAAGCGCAAGGTCGTGAGTTCGGTTCCTGGTACTGGAGAAAAACCAAAAAATAAAAAAATAAAAAAATAAATTCTCCAATTTATTAAGAGTACATGCTTTCAAAGTTGTTATTAGTAATCTTTGGATTTTGGCCAAGTCTTGTTATCTCACTTTTTTCATTTCTAATTACCATTTGGGTCTGTTTTTTATTTGTTTGTTTTGTTTTTGGTAAGATTGGTTTACGATTTGTCTATTTCATTTATTCCTTCAAAAAACTCATTTTTTGGTCAACTGATTCTTTGTATTGATCTTTAACTTCAATTGCATTAATCCCTGTCTGATCTTTATAACCTCCTTCCTTATACTAGGTTTGGATTTGGGTTTTTCTAAAACTTTGAGCTGCATCCTTAGGTTATTTATTTGGGCTTGCTCTGCTTTTTCCCCCCTGATATTCACAGCTATAAACTTCCCTCTTAGGACCACTTTCATTGTGTTCCATGAATTCTGGTATGTTGTACTGGCATTATTGTTTGATTCTAAGACCTAATTTTTTCCTTGATTTCTCCTGTGACCCACTGATTATTCAAGAGTGTATTATTTAATTTCCATGCATTTGCGCAATTTCTGTGGTTTCTTTTTACCATTGATTTCTAGTTTCACCATGCTATGATTTGATAATATGCATGGAATAATTTTGATTCTTTTGCATTTATTTAAGCATACTTTGTGGGCTAGTATATGGTCTATTTTGGATAAAGTTCCATGTGCTGCTGAGAAGAATGTGTATTCTGCTGTTGAGCTGAACACTCTGTAGATATCAATGAAGTCCATTTATTCAAAGGTTTGGTTCAATTCTGATATTTGGTTTTGTTTTCTAGTTTTTCTATTTGTGACAGTAGGGTATTGAGGTCCTCCACTATAATTGCATTGATGTTTATCTGATATATATCCAGTAGTGTTTGTTT